GGAAACTTTTTAGTTGTAATAGTTTAGATGAAGCGGATTTTGTCCAGTGTGTTCAGGAAGGATTCCTGACACAGTATGTAGATAGACCAACACGAGGAGAGGCCACTTTGGATTTGGTGCTTGGCAATGAACCGGGCCAAGTGTTCGACCTGTTGGTAGGAGAGCATTTTGGCGGTAGCGATCACAACTCTGTTACTTTTACAACAAGTCATGGAAAGGAATAGGTACATACAGCATGGTAAGGTGTATAACTGGGGGACGGGTAATTACGATTCAGTTAGGCAAGAACTGGGTAACATAAATTGGGAACAGATGCTGTCAGGGAAGAGCACTATTGAAATGTGGAGATTGTCTAAGGAATGCATACTGCGTGTGCTCAATATGTTTGTCCCTACCAGGCAGGGAAGATGCAGTCAAGTGAGGGAGCCTTGGTTCTCAAGAGAGGTCGAACGACTGGTTAGGAGGAAGAAGGATGCTTATGTAAGGTTTAGGAAACAAGGAACGGAAAAGGCTCTAGAGGGATACAAGTTATCCAGGAAGGAGCTGAAGAAAGAGCTTAGGAGAGCTATAAGGGGGCATGAGAAAACCTTGGCAGATAGGATCAAGGAAAACTCCAAGGCTTTTTACACATACGTGAGGAATAAGAGAATGACCAGAGAACGGGTAGGGCCGATGAAGGATTGTAAAGGGAATTTGTGCACGGAGCTTGAAGAGATAGGAGAGGTCCTTAATGAATACTTTTCTTCGGTATTCACAACTGAGAGGGACCTAGTTGTAGAGGAGGACAGTGTGAAACAGACTGGTAGGCGAGAGGAGGTTGATGTTAGTAAGGAAGATGTGCTAGGAATTTTGAGGAAGTTGAAGATAGATAAGTCCCCCAGGCCTGATGGGATTTATCCAAGGATTCTATGGGAAGCGAGGGAAGAGATCGCAGGGCCTTTGGCGATGATCTTTTCGTCCTCACTGTCCACGGGTATAGTGCCGGAAGATTGGAGAGAGGCAAACGTCATTCCCTTGTTCAAAAAAAGGAATAGGGATAAACCCGGAAATTACAGGCCAGTTAGTCTTACATCAGAGGTGGGAAAATTATTGGAAAGGGCTCTGGGAGATCGGATTTATGATCACTTGGAAAGGTACAGCTTGATTCGTGATAGTCAGCATGGATTTGTGACGGTAGATCATGCCTCACAAACCTTATTGAATTCTTTGAAGAGGTGACCAAACACGTGGATGAAGGTGGAGCAGTGGACGTGGTATACGTGGATTTAAGTAAGGCATTTAATAAGGTTCCCCATGGTAGGCTCATGCAGAAGGTAAGGAGGCATGGGATAGGAGGAAATGTGGCAGAGTGGATTCAGAATTGGCTGACCCTTAGAAGACAAAGGGTGGTAGTGGACGGAAAATATTCAACATGGTGCTCAGTTACGAGTGGTGTACCACAAGGATCTGTCCTGGGTCCTCTTCTATTTGTGCTTTTCGTAAATGCTTTGGATGAAGGAGTGGAAGGGTGGATTAGCAAGTTCGCAGACGATACGAAGGTGGGTCCCGTTGTGGACAGTGCGGAGGGCTGTTCTGGGTTACAAAGGGACATTGATAGGATGCAGAGCTGGGCTGAGAAGTGGCAAATGGAGTTTAACCCTGAAAAGTGTGAGGTGATTCATTTTGGAAGGACAAACTTGAAAGCAGAATACAAGGTTAACGGAAAGATTCTTGGCAGTGTGGAGGAGCAGCGGGATCTTGGGGTTCACAGTTCCCTGAAAGCTGCCACCCAGGTGGATAGAGTTGTTAAGAAGGCGTATGGTGTGTTAGCTTTCGTTAATAGAGGGATCGAGTTCAAGAGCTGTGAAGTTATGCTCCAGCTATACAAAAGCCTGGTTCGGCCCCATCTGGAGTATTGTGTCCAGTTCTGGTTGCCTCATTACAGGAAAGATGTGGAGGCATTGGAAAAGGTGCAGAGGAGATTTACCAGGATGTTGCCTGGAATGGAGAAAGGTCTTACGAGGAAAGGTTGAGAGAGCTAGGGCTTTACTCTTTAGAACGACGAAGGATGAGAGGTGACTTGGCAGAGGTGTACAAAATTATCAGAGGTATAGTTAGAGGAGATAGCCAGAGGCTTTTTCCTAGGGTGGAGGTAGCTATTACGAGGGGACATAGTTTTAAAGTAAGTGGAGGTAGATATAGGGGAGACGTCAGAGGTAGGTTCTTTACTCAGAGAGTGGTAGGGGCGTGGAATGCATTGCCGGAGAGGGTATTGGAGTCGGCCTCGTTAGGGGCATTTAAGCGGCTGTTAGATAGGCATATGGATGATAGTATAAGGTGGGGGTGGAGGTTAGATAGACCTTAGGATTAGGGTAAAAGTTCGGCACAACATCGTGGGCCGAAGGGCCTGTACTGTGCTGTACTGTTGTATGTTCTTTGTTAAAATTTGACCATGAGCCACATAAGGAGATTTTCTTTATTCTTTAATGGGATGTTAGCATGGCTGGCATGGCCATCATTTGTTTCCCATCCTTAACTGCCCTGGAGAAGGTGGTGAGCTGCCTTCTTGACTGTTGTAATCCATGTGCTGTGGTTAAACCACAATGCTGTTTGGAGTGCGGTTCTGGAATTTTGATCAGAGACAGCAAAGGAACAGTGATATATTTCCAGATCAGAACGGTCTGTGACTTGCAGCGGAATTTGCATTCAAAACCCAGGTGTCTCCTGACCTTGTAGTGCCTACTTGGTAAATGTCATGTAGATGACCAAAAGTTTAGTGAAAATGAGTTTTCAGGAGTGACTGCAAAGAAAGAAGAGGAGTGAAAGATTTTGTAGGGGAATGCAGCTTGGGGCCTTCATAGGTGAAGGTTTAAAAGCGCACATCTTTAACAGGTAATACTAGAGAAGCACAGGTGTCTTGGTGGCTGCTGAAAAAGATTACAGGAGGGATTTGAAAATAAGGATGAGAATTTTAAAATTGACTTCTTTCTAAAGTGGGAGACAATGTTGGTCAACAATCACAGGGGTAGTGGATATGAGTTAGACACATGCAGCAGAAATTTGGATGGCCTCAAGTTCACTAAGGCTAGTATATTGGAAACCAACCAGAAAAAGTCAAATGTACAGGTAATGAAGGCATAATTGAAGGCTTCAGAAACAGATAAACTAAGGTGTCATTCCATCCATTTAACACTGACTGCATTACCCTTGTCTAATTTTTCTGTTAATTCTTCAAAGACTTGAATTAATTGGGCTATGCATGATTTTTTTCTTTTGAAATGTTGATGGGCAAATCTTCAGAAAAGCTGTGATAATATTCACCATTGTATTTGATATGATACAAAGCCAGTACACATTGCAGTTCTGCAGTTAAACAATTATGGTCAGCGAGAAAGGCAAGAGACAATATTAAACTAGAAGAAAAATAATGTGATCTGAACATTCACAAATCTTCAAGATTTGATTGCTTCCACCCAATATAGTAGAATACATGAGGGAAAATTACAGGTACATAATTTTTCAGAATTCCTTGGGTTCAGGAATTGTGGCAGTGGATTGGGGAATTGCAAAACAAACTCCTTGTACTCTTTTTGTTTTATAAATAAGGGAGCAATTAACCTAAAGATAATCAGGAGTTTTATTGGAACGTATCTTCATGGTCTGATTCACTGACTACTTCAGTGAGTGGATCAAAGAGATTCTGCACGAATTTGTGAAGGGCAAGTCTTAAGGTAAATGGAGCTGAGTACTAATCAAACATGAACTAATTGAATGGCAGAGCAGATTCAAGGGACTGAATGGCCTACCCTCCAGTTCCTTTAAAATATCACTGACAACTTCAAAGCATCCCAAAAACATTTAATCAAGTATTAATGCCTTAACAGGACTTGTCCATCCAGTAATTAAAACAGAATTTTTAGGGCAGCACGGCGACTCAATAGCTAGCACTGTTGCCTCACAGCGCCAGGGACCCAGGTTCAAATCCAACCTCGAGCAACTGTTTGTGTGGAGTTTGCACATTCTCCCTGTGTCTGCGTGGTTTGTCTGCATGGGTTTCCTTCCACAATCCAAAGACGTACAGGTTAGGTGAATTGACCATGCTGAATTGCCCATAGTGTCCAAGGATGTGTAGATTAGATGGATTGGTCATGGGAAGTGCAGGGCTACAGGGTTGGGGGAGGTAGTGGTGTGTGAGTCTGGGTGGAATACACTTCGGAGAGTGGGTGTGGACCTGTTGGGCTGAATGGCCTGTTTCCACACTGTAGGGATTCTGTTCTAATTGTTGGTAATATTCTGCAGGTCAGGCATCTGTCGACATAAAAACATTTCAGGTTGATCACATCATAAATGTTCACTCAGTTTCTCTGTCCACAGATGCTGCCAGACTTCTTAAATATTTCCAGCATTTTTCTTCTCATTTTAGATATCCAGCATCTGCAGCATTTTACTTTAGTGCTGCTGATTCAGCAAATGTCCACTCAATAATAAGACTGGTCTAGCCAGTGTCAGGCCTGCTTAGTGTAGTGCTGAGCTAAGCAGCTCATATACATCTGGGTTTGATCCTTGTTGTATCCTGTGTTATCCAGGCCACAATTGGGTCACTACAATAAACATATTATTCTTGGCTCGGGAAATAAAAGGTATCAGTTAGAGTTGCCATTTTAATTACTGTCCAATGACTTCTGTTAATTCTGGACATAAGTATTTTGTGTGAGTGGTGTGATTTCCTTACAATAACATTAATCTACACTGTCACAACATACATAAAAATACCAGAGAACACCTACTGACTTTGAAAACTCAACCCATCAAAAATCTTCAGGTGGGCAGGGTGAGAAACTGAAGTATTTGAAATACAAATCTGTGAAGGCTGGATAGTAAAAAAGCAAAAGCAAAATGTTGTATTTCAGTAAACTGAGTCATAGAAACAGAAAGGTTAATAATCACTAACTAACTGACTTTGACTTTGTTTTCCTTCCGCACCACCATCACCCCCACCCCCACCCCAAACCCCCTTGTAGAAAATGCGAATGTATTCAAACCGGGCTCACAGTGCAGTAATAGATGAGACAATCCATCTGCCTCCAAGAAGCAGCTTTCTGGGGCATGAATACTTTACCAGGCCCAAAACCTCGCACACCTTCCGGGTAAGGAGGAACATATGTTTTGGCTTTGCCAATGTCTCAACAGCTGGAATGCCACAAACCAGAAATATCTCACTGGATCCTTGGTCCCTGTGTATACTAATCAAACGCTGTGTCAGCTGGAGTTGTCCTTACTCACTCAAGGAGAGCAAGTGGTAGGCTTAGTTGAAGATTGGGCTTGGGAAGATGCAGTTGCTGTGGTTCATGATAGGGCCAGTAACATGGGGAAGAATAAGGAGGAGGCCCTTCTGAAGAGCAGAAGATGAGAGGTAACTAAAAAGCAGAATATCATGGATAGTAGTCTCTGAATTATTAACTGAACAACATGCAAATTGACATAAGGACAATAGGTCAACAAAGTAAAGATGCAGCTTAAGGATAAGTGTGGCAAATATGCTCTGTTTAATGCAAGGAAGGCACCAACAGGACAGGAAGAATGGGCTACACCTGAACTAGGCTGGGACCAAGGAAATGACTCAAAACATAAGTGGTGCTACAAGTGAGACCTGAAAACAATCAAGATGGAGGAGGCTCTGACTGAAATAATAAGTATAAACAGCTGATAAAAGATGACAAAGGGGAATCAGATTCACAATAAGATATTGTGCTAAAGCTGAAACATATATTTCATGTACAGGAAGATATTTATGGAATTAACAGAATATGGTCAAAATACAGCAAACATGATGGAAAGCTGTAAAGTAATTAGTTAAAATATGCAAGAAAAACAGACTCTGGCAAAACCGCGAGGTAGGGTCTGTTGTTTAATAACAGTTCACTACACTAATACATGTAGCATTAGGGATAAAATAAGAAAATTACAAGAGTACAAGGTATAACACAGTGGCTATTACTGAGATTTGGCTACAAACGGTGTGACTGGAAGATAAATGTTTCAGTAAATAAGGTTCTTAGAAAAGACAGAAATTGGAAAAATAGGAGTAGTAATATTGATGCAGAACCCAATGTAGGGTGGAGGATACCAGGAAGCCTGAGAGGACAGTAGAAATGCTCTTGGCAGTATTGAGGAATGGAAAAATATCTTGAGTCTTCCTGGGAGTTTACAGACTCTGACAGCATTGATGAAGTAATGGAATGAATAAATGTAGAAATCAAAAACTTCTTCCAAAAACAGTGTTGTTATAATGGGAGAATTTAATTTTCAGATAAATTGGGAGAAGGGATACAGTTTGAATTTCAAAGACAGCAGATTTCTTGTGTGTAATTGGGACAATTTCCTAGAACAATACTTTCTTGAAGTAACAAGAGAACAGGCCAGTTTATATTGAGTCTGAATTAGTCCAACAATTTAGCATATATACCTCCTCCTGATTTATCTTGTGTTTCTTTCCTTGTCCATTACCATTTTCTTTTGCTTTGCACCATCTTATTTTTTGACATTTGATCTTTCCTGCCTCCCACCTTTTCATTATAACTTTAATCTAAAACAAGAACTTACAGATGCTGGAATCTGTTCTGGCAAAAGGCATTCTGCTAGAAATATGATTTGTTTTTGTCTCCACAGATGCTGCCTGACCTGCTGTGAATTTCCAGCACTTTCGGGTTTTTTCTTTTCAGATTTTTGTTCTTGTATAAATCTGGGAATCTCATTCCCGAAAAGCTCTTGAGACTGGTCAATTTTAAATATCAAAACTGCTCATTTTTAATTCTTTTATTAGATATACATTGGACGTGTCAGCATTTTCTTCCCATTTCTAATTACCCTGGAGAAAGTGGTGGTGAGCATCCTTCTTGAATCACTGCAGTCCATATGCTGTGGGACATCCACAATGATGTTTGGAGGGGAGTTCCAGAGTTTTGACCCAGTGACACTGAAGGAATGGCAATATATTTCCACATTAGGATGGTGTGTGGCTTGGAGGGAACCTGCAGGTGGTGATGATCTCATGCCCAGAAGACAGAGAGCTGTTGACAATATCGACCAACATGGGAGGCATGAGGGAAAGTTAATTAGTCAGGAGTTTAATGAGGGTCAAGTGTGAAGAACAAGATGTGAGTCTCATCATCAAGATGAGTTCAAGGCATAAGTGATTTCAGAGCGAAATTACAGAATGATACAAATTCATAGGAAACAGAAAGAACCTTAGAGAAAGGTATGCCCGATGTGAAAGAAGAGAAGGAAGTAGTACGGACAGCTGAACTGACCTTTGTAACAAAAAGTTTCATGAGTTTAAAAAAAAGTATTGCTGGATACAATATGAGTATGATTTTTTTTAAATTCATTCATCGGACATGGGCATCGCTGACTGGCCTGCAGTTATTGTCTGTCCGTAGTTGCCTTTGAGAAGATGTTGGTGACCTGCCTTCTTGAACCACTGCAGGCCAATGTGTTGTAGGTAGACCCACAATGCCTTCAGGGAAGGAATCACTGCCATTGAAATCAGGGCAACATTTGACACTGCACCACCAAGGAGCCTTAGTAAACCAAATTTAATGGGGATAAAGGTGAATACTCCACTGTTTGGAGTAATAATTAATACAAAGGAAGATAGTTTGATAATTGGTTTGATAATTCGTCTCAGTCCAGGTCAGTGCTGCAGGAGTTCCACATGGTAGATATTTTTTAATCAACCTGTTTGGAGATATTATTACATATCGCTGGAGCAGGTGGGACTTGAACCTGGACCTGACCTGGGCCCAGTTGTCTTCAGCGCTTTATCAATGACCTTTCCTCCATGACTGATTATCTACCTCTTCACTATTTTCCCACACTGTCCCCATGTCCATATTATGTTCCATCTGCCATGATGTTGTCCATTACCTAGCCTGTCCAAATCCATTTGATGCCTGGCAGCATCTGTGGAGAGCAAGCGAAGTTAACAGTTCGATTCCAGTGACTCCTCTTCAGAACTGTTCTGTTTTCGTTTCAGATTTTCAGCATCTGCAGTTCTTTGTTATATTCACTTGATGTCAACTTGCATCTGCCTACAACTGACATTCCAACCTAGTTTTGTGTCATTAATCATTGTTCAACTATCGTAACTTCAACAAAATTCAAGAAGCTTGACTCCATCCAGTACAAAGCATTCGACTGGATTGGCATTCCATTCATCATTTTAAACATTCAGTCTGTCCTTCATTTGTGTGCAGTGGCAGTAGTGTGTGCCATTCATGAAATGAATATATAGCAACTTACCAAATTTTATTTTCTTTATTCTTATATGGGATGTAGGTGTCACTGGCAAGGCAACTATTTGTTGCCCATTCTTAATTGAACTTAAACTCAGTAACTTGCTGGACCATTTCAGAGGATGGTTACAAGTCAACCACATTAGTGAGAGTCTGGAATAACATTAAAATCAGACCAGGTAAGGATGGCAGATTTCTTCCCAGAAAAGACAGTGGTGACCCAGATATGTTTTTACTTTTTATAATAGTTGTCTTGGCCCAATCTTTGAAACTAGATTTATATTGCGAATGTATTAGTGAAATTTACCAACTGCTGTGATGGGATTTGAACCCATGTCCCCAGTGTATTAGCCTGGGCCTCTTGCACTACTGCTATTCCACTATATACCCACAGTACCGCTACTATCTACAAGGACAAGGATGGGCCATGCCACCTTTAGGTTTCCCTTCAAGTCATGCACCATTCTGATTCACAAATATTCACTAACATTAACTCAAAGTCCTGTAAAACTCAACCCTCAGAGCACTGTATGTGACCCTACTCCACATTGACTGCAGGAGGACAAGTCGGAGGCTATCCATCACCGCCATCTCCTCAGGGGAGGCAGTGGTATAGTGGTAATGTCACTACTCGTAATCCAGAACCCCAGCCTAATGTTCTGTGGACATGGGTTTGAATTCCAGCATGACGGATGGTGTAATTTGAATTCAATAAAAAATCTGGAAGAAACTAACTTAATGGAATCATGTCATTAAACAACCTATGAGTTCACTACTGCTCTTTAGAGAAGAAACTCTGTTGTCCTTACCTGGTCTGACCTACGTGACTCCAGACCCCACAGAAATATGGTTGACCTCTCAACTGCATTTTGAGCAATTAGAGATAGATAATAAATGCTGGCCTAGTCAGATATATTCTGCTCCTTAGAATTCTTTCTTATAGTTTCCTTACCACTGAGATTAGACTGCCTAGCCTGTAATTTTCTGGTTGATAATTTCCTTGATATTTTTAATAATGGGATGACTTTAGCAGGTCCCAGTCCTCTGGTAACTCCCTGTGGCCAGAGAGGATTTGAAAATGACTGCTGAAGCTCTTGATATCTCCTCCTATGCCTCCCTCACAGGCTCTACTTAAATATAGACTAGAAAAATCTGATTCTTGTTTAGATCAGACAAATGACCAGAATCCCTTTATTCTATCAAGTGAAGAAATTTGGTTTTGAAGTTATAAAGTGTTAATTATTTGTGTAATGGTTTTAAGCTGTACTTACAGCCTCAGCTTAAAATAATATCCAGTCACAAGAGAAATGCCTACAGTTACTTAAATGCTGTCCTGTGATATCGCACTTTAATTTTGTTGAAGTAGCTCTCCCACTGGTCTATCTGCTTCTGAGACCTCTCTGCTGTCACTGCTCTTTTCAGTAGAAATAGGTTTTATTGTCACGTGTACTCAAGTACAGGGATACAGGAGTAAAGTGAAAAGTTTACAATGTCGCCATTCATGGCACCATCTTAGGTACAAGATACCTAGGTGCAAAATCTTAGGTAAAAAGTAGAAAAGTAAAGAAATAAGTTAAATTTTCAACATTACAATTCATGTCAGTTTTAAGTAGTAAGTAAAAAATAAAGTTAAAAGTTCCAGATTGAAGTCCTTCTTTAGCCATGGGCCTGCAGTAGCTCCACACTGGGCTTTCCCCACCAGGCTCTATCTCTCTCTCACACTGGGTTCGATCTCTCCTCTGCGCTAGGCTCAATCTCTTCCCCCATGCTGGGCTTGACCTCTCGATCCCCATGCCTCTGCGCTGATGCCTTGCCACCAGCTGCCAACTGAGCTCATCAGCCCTTTTTAACCTCCTTGCCATCACTGCTAAGTCCTACACAGGTCCGCCACTTGTCTGTCTACTTATGGAACCTCTCCACACTCATTGCTGTTGGGTGGGATCTTATTGTTTTAATGTTTCAGTATTGTACATTGTGATGCAGTAAAGATTGTTAATTAGCAGCTTCCCCTTTTACAGTCTTGGCTTCCTGCAATGGGCTTCAGATATCCCACATGGATCACTCTAACTGGCACAGACACCATTAATGTTTCATGCATCTTTGTGGGGAGAGTTGTCCATTGTAGTTCAGTGGTGGTTAGATGTATAATCTTGTGATTTGCCGTGACACTGCATTCATCTGAGGATTGTCTTTGGTTTACTTCTTCATGGATGTGTTTGTGCTCAGCAAACTTGGATCATCAGGAATAGTGGGGGAGGTCTTGCTTTCTACAGTCTTCTCAATTGATACCCAGATCAGCAGACAAGGGTTCAAAATGAGAAACACTTTCTTTTTATTGCTCAGGGAGGATGGAAACTGAGGACCAGTTAATAAAGAAAGTGATATGCTATGTTATTGTGAGCTGAGCTTACACTGTATCTTCATGTGGTTAATGTTGAGAGGGTATACCTACATGCTTCTCTCCTTTGTTATACTTGTTTTCCATGCCTTTTTCAAGTGTTAACTTTTGATTTTTGTTGATCAGAAGAAAGCACTACATTGGAATTAATTTGGGTTTGATGCAGTGAAGAGCCATTATGGACACAAGATCTAACAAATGTGTTCAACTCGGCAATGGATGAAACTTCCAAATAGTTGGGTCGGATTTTTTTTTCTCTTCTGGTACTCGATGCCTATACCTGTGGTAGAAGCAGAAACCCTGATGAGGCAGAGTGGCAGATATTGTTTACTTGGACTTTAGTAAAGCCTTTGACAAGGTTCTGCATAATAGACAAATTAGTAAAGTTAGATCACATGGGATTCAGGGTGAGCTTGCCAATTGGATACAAAACTGTCTTAACAGGAGGAAACAGAGTGGTGGTGGAGGGTTGTTTTTTTTCAGACCAGAGTTCTGTTATGAGCGGAATTGGTGCTGGGTCCACTTTTGTTTGTCATTTATATGAATGATTTAGATGAGAATTTGACTGATTGGAACCATGGCCTGGTGGATCTCATTGACTGAGATTCTTGATTGGGGTTGTTAACCTGGCCCAGTTAGGGAGCCCTGGCTGACAGATATAAACAGGAGGTTCAAAGGTCTCCTCAGTCTAGGGACTGGCTCTGATCTGGCTAGTGACAGCCCAGGTATAGTGCACATGTAAATAAAGGAAATCCCTCATCCTAGGGAAAAGACAACTACCATTAATTCTATCTATACCTCTCATTATTTTATAAGCTCCTATCAGATCACCTCCCAACCTCCTACACTCCGGTGAACAAAATCCCAGCCAATCCAGCCGTTCTTTATTACTCAAATCTTTCATACCCAGCAACAACCTGGTAAATCTGTTCTGAACCCTCTCCAGCTTGATAATATCCTTCCTATAACTAGGCAACCAGAACTGGACACAGTATTCCAGAAGAAGCCTCACCAATGTCCTGTACAACCTGAACACTGACTTCCCAACTCCTGTACTCAGGATTGAGCATTCTAAATGCCTTTTTAACCATCCTGTCTATATGTGATGCAAACTTCAAAGAATTATGTACCTGCACCCCTAGGTCCCTCAGTTCTACAACACTACCCAAGGCCCGACCATTAATTGTATAAGCCGTACCCTTGTTTTTTGTACCAAAATGCAATACCTCACACTTATCCAGATTGAACTCTATCTGCCATTTTTTCAGCCCATTGACCCATTTGATCAAGATCCCTTTGTAATCTTAGAAAACCTCCACTGTCTACTATGCCATCAATTTTGGTATCATCACAAACTTACTAACCATGCCATCTCATTTCACACTTTGGGCTATTAAACGTCACACAATGTTAAGGATGCCTAGGTTATGAATCTTCAGTATTGTAGTTGCAGCTAGACAGATGTTCGCACCGCAGCTGATGAAGAAAAGTGAACATACATTTACAAACATGACAGTGCATTTCAAACCAACTATACCACCTGTGTGCCCTTAAAGGGTCATCTTCTTTCTTTCCCACCCATTATAGGCGCAATCTTGGGGACCACAGCCAGGGTGACGGGAGTTTGTCCTACAGTGGATCTGTTGACTTTAGAGGTTTGGTTTAGGCAACCTTGGGTGTTTGTGTGTAGAGGGTGTGGCCGAGGAGAAGGGGTAGGTGGAGCATGGAGGGAACTGGCAGGCAGGGCAATGGAGGGGTGACTGGGTCTGATGTGGGATTGGGATAAGGAATATTTTCTTGGGAGCTACAGACTTTTTTTAATCAATACCTGATTCTTTGCCTGTAAATTCTCATATATTTTTAACCAACCTTTAGAGTAGGTGAGACTTGAACCCAGGTCTCCTGGCTCAGAGGTAACGACAGTACCACTGCACCACAGGAGCCCTGAACTGCAGACTCTTATGTTCATTCTATTAATTGTGTCATTAGTGAAGTAAACACCAATTATCAGCAAAAGGGCAATTTCTAACACAGACTTTTAGCTTCATGGCTTCAATGATACGTTTTATTTCAGAACAACATGAAGAGGGACAGTAATCACAAACATTGTATTCCTGTCGTTTTTTTCCAGTCAGATATTTCTTACCACCGGTCCTTCACTGCTCTGGAATATGCTCATCAGTCACACACTGACAGGAGATTTGCTGGACCAGGTAAATTAATGGTGTGATTTGAAATGTTTAACCTTCATCTAGTGCACTCCAACTTCACTCTGAAGTGGCAAATCAGCAGCTCACCACGTTATTCAGTCCTGTGGGCAGAGAGAGAATGAGAGTCAGTTTGACATTGCATGACAAGAAGTCCTCAAAACAGAAGTAGGGAGAAAAGGATTTACATTCAGATGGTGCATTTTACCATCGCAGTCCCAAAAATTTGTAAACTAGCGTATTTTAAAATTAGTAGGATACGTAGCTCTTAATTAATACATGGTGTGGTTCAACAGCAATGATAGAATTTTTTTTTTTAATGATTTTTGATAGAATAATGCATATTCAGTGGGACAGGTGGACTCCCCTAGTCATTCAAACAGATGTCTCTGGAACATACGCAGGGCCTCTTCTTAACATCTTGCCAGCGGTGCTGCACAACCTCAGTACAACTCTCTGTTAATTGAGTATTCGTTTACATTAAAGATGATGCATATTAATTAGGGATTCACTCCAAAAATAGAAGCGCTCTGGAACTCTGACTGGCTGAGTACATGTTTGTAACGTCTATCTCGGCCAATAGAAGCTTATAAAAACGGCCAAAGATTCAGGCTGTAGTTCTACCTTTCACCATTTGATTTCAAGAAGTAGAATATGGCGGCAGGGACTTAAGATGAATGTTGATTGTAAGAAAAACATTTCGAGTTGAAATCTTAATGGCCTTTGTGAAAAATGGCAAAACATAAATCTAAGTTGACAGGGGATCATAGACCCAAACATCTCCAGTTGTATTATCAAAGACCTTTCTTCCATTGTAACGTCAGATGTGGTAATATTTGCTGACAGTTGCACAGGGATAAGCACTCATGACTTACCCTGTAAACCACTCACTGTCCAGACTTTGAAACATATCCCAATTCCTTCAATGCTCCTGAGACAAAATCATGAAACACCTGCCCTGATGGCATTCTGTGTCCGCTTGCATCAAATAAACCATAGCCATCTGAACTCCACTTTCTCAAAAGCAACTAGAGATGGGCAATAAATGCTGGTGAACAAAGGTGCCCACATCCCATGAATGAATTTTTAAAAAAAAACTTGACGTCAGTGTTCCGCCTACCTGCAGCCACACCAGCCCCGTGTCTGTGTTTTCCCTTCCTGCAGCAACATCAGCAAGTGTCTGTATCCCATCTTGCTTCCAGCAACACTAGCCAAGTCTGTTTTCCCCTGCCTCCAGCAATGCCAGCCCTGTGTCTATGTTCCCCGTCTCATAGCAACATCAGCCTGTGCCTGTATTCCCTGTGCCTCCAGCAGCACCAGCCGTGAGGTCTGTGTTCCCTCTCTCCCCAACAACACTAGTGCTGAGTCTGTGATCTCCCTGCTTGTAGCAATGCCAGCCTTGTGTCTGTGTTTTCCCCAGGCTGCAGCAACACTAGCTCTGTATCTCTATTCAGGCTGCGTATATCAACATCAATCTGCCTCTCATTTCCTCCAAGTATAAAGTTTTTGAGAAGATTTCCAATTACTATGTCAGCAGCAACTCCTTAAGCCAACTGTCCCTCCTCCAAATATCACAGAATTGCTGCAGCCAGGAGGCCATTTCGACTACCATTTCTGCATTGGTTTTGCACTCTGCACAGAAATCATTGAGTCTAAGTAGCTGTCTCCCCATGTGCACTGTTTCTCTTCAGATAATAACATTTTGTGTATAGAAGTATCCTGAATGCCTCAATTGAATCTGCCTGTACCACAATCTTGGACTTTACATTCTATACCCTAACCATTCACTTGGTGTAAAAGCTTTTCACTCTGTCACCGTTGTTTCTTTCGACATCAACCTTGAATCTCTGACCTCTGATTTTTCAACCTTCCAATCCTGGAAACACTTTCTGTCTGTCACACTGTCCACACCCCTCATTATTTTGAACACCTCTATCACATCTCTTTTCAATCCTCTCTCCAAGAATAATAGTTGCAACTTCTCTAATCTTTCTACGCAACAAAATTTCCTCATTCCTAGAACTATTCTTTTGAATCTATTCCGCACTGTCTCTAATAACTTCACAATCTTTGTAAAATGCAGCACCCAGACCTGAATTCATTACTCCAGCTGAGGCCAAACTAGCAGTTTATGCAAGTTTGATGGAAGTAACTTCCCTTGCTCTTAAATTATGTGCCTATAGTAATAAAGCCAAGGATTCTGTATACTTTATTCATCACTCATTAAACCTGTCTTGTCGTTTTAAATGATTAATGCAGATATATAGCCAAGTCACTTGGTTTTGTAGTCCCTTTATTTTATGTTACTTTTATTTTGTATTACCTATATTAAGAACATTTCGACCAAAATGAGTTACTTCACATTTTTCTGCATCAGACTTCATCTGCCAATTGTCTGCCCATTTCATCACCTTACTTATATCCTTTTAACATTCTACTCTATCCTTTTCACAGTTCATAACTTTTTCATCTGCAAATTTTGTAATTGTAACCAGTATGTTTTATGAAGAACAGCAAGGGTTCAAATACCAAACTCCTGGAGAGCTCCAAAACAGTCTTACCTGTCTGAAAACATCATTCACCATTTCTCTCTGATTCCTGTCTCCACTTCAACAATTTTCTTGTCCCCTCCTCACTCTCTTCCTCGTTAGCCCCTCCTAATGGTTCACAGTTCCTTCTCTGTAGTAACTGCTATGGAAATGCAAGTTGCTATTAGTATCTGTTACAGGAAGAGCTTGAAGGCTAAGATACTTTTGAGAAAGCATCACAACAAAGGATCACTGACTGAGCTGTAAATAAATATTTTAGCTATTTGATTAACTTAATTTGATTGCACATTGTTTATTCCAGATTCCAATTCCACTCAAGTGACTGGACTGAATTTGAATAGTTCCACTTCCTCTCACCTCGAAATGTTGCAACATCACAGCCACAGTGGGTCACTAATTGAAGCTGAAGAGAAGGTGGAGGAGCAGACATCACTGGGTAGGACATGGTTAGGATGGGTAGGAACATAGCAACAGGAATGGGCCTATGAGTTGCCTGAACTTAGACTATGGCTGATCCATGCCTTAATGCCATCAAGATATATCGGTTTCATAACTCTTAACATCCCTCCCTAACCAATCTATCATTCACATCCATAAATTTATTGATTGTCCCTCAGTCTCCACAGCATTTTGGGGGTTTGGTTCCATATTTTTGCTGAACTACTTTTGAAGACATGCTTTCTGACATCACCCTGAGTGACTAGCTTCAATTTTAAGCTTGTTCTGGATATTCCCACCAGGCATTTGTATAGCTGTAATCTGACATCCACTTTTTCAAATTCCAATCCTCTTGAAATATGGGCTAACTTTCGATTCACCTTTTATAATATGTTTTGAATTTGTCTGCTAGTTTTTAGCGAGTGCTGTTCTTGGGTCTTCAAATCTCTCTGCTCCTTCACAGTTCTCAGTTCTCACTACTTAGCAAATAATATATTTTGGAAGACCCCATTGGATGATGTCACACTTTTCCCATTTGAACTCCATTTGTCAGTTTTGTGCACTCACTTTATCGATTAATGCCCACGCATTTACATGTTTCACTGTGTCATCTAACTTATTAATAAACTTGGAAATGTGGCTTTCTATTCCTCCACCCAAATTGTTTATAAATGTAAACATGATGATCCTATTACAGATCCCTGTAGAATATCATTAGTCATATTTTCCTACTCGTTTCCCACCTCCTAATCACCTCCCTGCCTATGTCAATAGGTCGCCTCCAATTCCTTGTGCTCTCACTTTTTAAGTGTTATCTGAACCATTTTAAATGACTTCTGAAAGTTCATACAAGCAAACTTTAGACATTGTCTTATCCACCAAGCTAATTATTGTTTCAAAACATTTAACCAGCTTCAGGAGACATGATTTACTCTATACAAAATCATATTGGCTCTCCCTCATTAGTTCACATTTATCCAACTGTTCTGTCACTCTGCCCCGAATACCAATATATAAAAATGTGACTGCATTAGACTAAAAAGTTGATCATTTCCTCACTTGTCCCTCCTACTTTTCTTAAAAAAAAATGAAATGACACCAGTCACTTGGTTTGGAACTTTGTCAATTACTAGATCAAGAGAATTTCATTAATCATTTATCATGAATAGCAGCTACCCCTACCTCAGGCTTGGTGACCCTGGGTGAACACCGTGTTGTGATGGAAAGTTGTCTATCTTTAGTCTCCTCAGTTTCTCTGTAATCATTTCATAACTTGTATTGAATCTAAATAGATTCTCCCTTTGGCTTATTTTTAGTGTTCCTTATATCTCTGGTACTTTCTTCTCATCCTCTACGGCAGTGACTGATATTTAATAAATCTATCATTTTCTGATTTTCAATAACCGTATCACCTATGTCTTTCCTTAAAGGGTTCACATTCCTTTTATCAGTCTCATTCTCTTAAAAGACCTCTATTGGTGTCCTTGATAGCTCTTAATAATCCTTTTCTCATATTTCCATTTGCAGTTGTTATACTTTATCAGGGGAGAGAATGAAATCACATTTTTTTCCAGATTCTGGTTCTACTGGAGTGACTGGACTGAGTTTGAATATTTCCAGCTACTCTCACCTCGAAATGTTGCAACGTCACAGCCACAGTGGGTCACTAATTGTGACTGAGTAGAACACAATGAAGAGAGGCTCAGGGATAGGTAGGAGAATAGTACAGACTGGAAAGAGAGATGGGCAGGTTGGGGGGCACGCGGTGGTGGCAGGTGGATAGGGAAACAGAAAAAGACTATACAGTGACCGGTACTATGTGAAAAAGATAATTAAAGAATCTATCTTTCTTTCTGTACCAGGTCACCGTCTACCGCTTCCCATCCCACCTAATATACGTGGAGGCATTGGCTCGAGAAGCAGGACTGTGTTATAGAAAACAATGGAAGGGAGCTTAATGGAATCAAGAGGCTACCCCACCCATCCTAGTGAATGATGTCTGGACCAAAGCAAGTTGTTATTTGCACAATCCAGGAACACAGCCAGCAAGCAGCACACCCTCTTGGTCTAGCTGAGTGGTTTTATTCAGAGCAATGACTGATATAAAATATGTCACCAGCCATCTCTTTAGTTTGAACGCAACATGAAAGGAATTTTCAGTTCATTTGCTGTGACGACCAAGTAGTGATGATTTGATCAAACTCCTGACTGCTGGTACAGCAAAGCCTTTATTCATAGATTGATATTTACCAGGATAGAATCGTGTCAGTTTAACCTGATCTGTTTGATTTACCTTCTCCCACACAGGCCTTTGCTAGCCATTAGATTGATTTCGAAGGAAGCCTTAGAACGAAGACTTTCTGCCTCCGGTATCTATGACTAGTTTGGTTATAGTTGTGAGATGCTGGATTTGCAATTGGCTATTGAAATTACCTTGTACTGATCTGTAATGATGGAGTAAAGGGATCCCAGGAACGAGTAGATTTAAGGGTTCCTGGAACTGTTTTGGAATGGAGTTCCTGGAAAGTGTGGGAGGTAGGGGTCCTAGACATGTGTGGGAGGGAGTGCTCATGGGAACCTGTGGGAGGAAGGGGTACCCAGGAATATGCGGGAGTGAGTTTCTGGAATGTGTGGGAGTTGAAGGTCCTGGGAATGTGTGTGTGTTGGTGGTCACACTTGAAATTAGCTTTTGGAAGAAGTTATCCAGATTTTGATTTGTGAGCCTTAAATTACAGAGAATGAGAGTTGTGATCTTTCAGTATGGACTAGGAGAAGCCTTAGTGAACATGTGACCTCCTGCTTCACAATTCCACTGTCTGTCTCCCTGTTCTCCCAAACCCCATCAAAGGAGAATAAATGTTTGGTTGCCCTGACTTGAGAATATGGGTGGAATTTTTGTGAGTGAGCCCAGTGTGAACATAACATTGTCCATTGATGTATCAAGAGCTAAGTGAGCTGAGGACAATACATTCCTCTCTTCACCCTTTTCCTGCCTTTGGGAATTAAAGCTCAGAGGCATCTATTCAAACAAGTTTATAGAGTTCAGAATGATAATATACTTGAATGATCCGCCGGCAGATCAGAACCACACTGTAACTTTATGTTCCAAGGCTTACTGTTTCATACTTTAGAGAATCTTGTGTTCTAAGTCGACATTAAAACTGCTAAAGGAAACGTTGCTGGTGAGCAACACTGACAGAGATATATTGCACAGAGGCTAACTGATGCTCACCTGACAAGCAGTTCAGCAGTGAAGGGTACATTCACTTCAATTAACCATACTACCCAGTACTGATCTGAACAGCTTACTATCACTGATTTAATCAGACATTGTTCACACCACTCCAGAATTGGAACTAAAATGTTTCATCTGTATCTGTTACAATGCTATTATGTTAAAAGGGACATACGAATCGGAGAAAGTCATCTAGTCCCTGGATCCTGTTCAACTAGTTAGTGAAGTCAAAGCTGATCTGTAACCTGAGTCCATATACCCAACTTTGCTCCTTATTTGTTAATAAATCTGGACAGTAAAACTATTAATCCCAGTTTAATATGAACAATTGATCTAATATCACTTGGTATTGCAGAAGAGAATTCCAAATTTCTTCCACTCTGTGTGGAAAAGTGTTTCCTAATCTTACTCCTGAAATACTCAGCTCTAATTTTTAGGAAATAGACTCCCCCTTGTCCACTTTTATCTATTTTCCTTAATATCTTGATCAGCTCAAATCACCTGAAAGCTTCTGAATTCCGGGCAATAGAATTCCACTTTAAGGATTCTCTTTTCATAATTAGCAATTCCAGTATCATTCAGTTAAATCTACCCTGTACATCCTCCAAAGCCAAAAAAGTCTTTCTTGAAGTCTGGTGGCCAGCACCATTCTCAGTACTTGAGATATCATCTGACCAGGACTACGTATACCTGTCAGTGGATCTCTATTTTGTTTAAATAGTGGATAACTTTGCCAAAATAAACCTTTGAAGTTTTCAGTGTGAAGCATTAGAATGTCAAATTACTACCACAAAAATACTCAATTCTTATTTTAATACATTCAAAATAAAATCCTACCTCCATATTAATACCATTTCCCTTTGACTCCTGCTCAGATCATAATTGCACATGGATCCAATCCACTCACCTTCCAACACTTTACATTGGATTTTAGTAGGTTTATTACTGATTTTTAGGAATATAAGCACTAGGAGCATGAGTAAACAATTCAGCCCCTCGAACCTGCTCCACCATTCAATATGATCATGGCTGATCTCATCGCAAACTCAACTCCACTTTCCTCTCTGCTTTCAATCACCCTTCAACCCATTACTCATTAAATAGTTGTCTATTTCCTCCCTTGTTCTCTTATCATCAGCTCACTGTACTTGTGATTTGAGAGACCAATCAGCTGTGCGGTTTATGTTTTCTGCAATTGAGGTCACTAAGTAACAGTCCGGGTCATCTAATGACCTTTGCACTTCTTTATACTGTGCCATTTCTCCTGTGCTGTGTATTTTTGCCAGTGTTAAAAATTACTTTGGACTCCCATTGGTTTCTCATCAACCACAGCTAAGTCAGCCTGGGATGTAGATACATCATACCCATACATTCAGCTGACAATACTCAATGTTGTGAAGCATTTCAGATTGAGCTGAAAACCTGCTCGCTTAATCCTTCCCTCCCCCAAATAATGCTCAATGTCCAAAGATGATCTGCAAGGTCTTTGTTGGATCCAATTCCACTCCATCTTCACCCTTCTCCTCCATGTCCAGATTGCCATCCTTCCAAATGCACTGCTTCCCTTCCACTTCCTGCACACCTTCTGTCTCCAACCTTCCATCTCTAGCTCTTCCACTTCACCCACTTCTCAAATCCTCTAATGCCCTTCTACACTTCAGCTATGCATTTCTCTATTCCCAACCCATTGACAACCACATACAATGAACACTTGCCATCTCCTTCCCATGTTTCCTCATCCAACAGTTTTGCAGTGTCAGGTGAATCTTTTTAACAACATCCTTGCCACAGATTCTGTGGTTAACTTTCACATATTTTGTCAACCAATGTTGTTGTGTTCAGAGTGTGGGAGAATAGCTCAGGAGCACAAGACATTTCTGACAGTCACTGCGTGTTGATATCTGAGAGTTGATCTGGAGAGGATCAGACGATTGATTCATTCATTTATTCATTGATCAGAGGTCAGAGGATTGTAACGATCACACAATAGTTCTGCCTCAGATTGGGATCCATATAAATCTTATGCATGTGTTGGGAGTGTACAGACTGGGGTATGTGTAATGGGTCGATAAGATATTGTACTGAACAGATTACAGATTCATTTTAAGGAAGTCTAAAGTCTGTTTTATTGCTGCCGTGAAGATTCAAATACTATTTTTGGTGTTATTAATTTTTTGTAAATTTATATGCCAGAATTTTTATAAATATACTTTAGTTTTGATTATACAATAAAATTTATGCTAACATGAGAAATATTTGCTATTAGTTCTGTGTTGACTGATCCTGTTACCCATCCATAATTTGTTAACACATGCACTTGAATTCTGTCTGACATCTGTTTCTCATTTAGATCTTTTTCGTCTTTGCTATTTCATTTCTCTTTAGAGTCATAAAGTATTGCAGTACAGAAGAAGGTTCTTTGGCCCAATGTGTGTTTGCCAGTCAAGCACCTACCTATTCAAAATTTCATTTCCCAACATTTGGCCCATAGACTTACATACTATTGAATTTCAAATGTTCTTGTAATACTACTTAAATGGTATAACAGTTCCTGCCACTACCATCATTTCAGGCAGTAGGTTTCAGATTCCCAACACCTTTTGGGTGAAGAGATAACAAGGTGTAGAGCTGGATGAACACAGCAGGCCAAGCAGCATCAGAGGAGCAGGAAAGCTGACATTTTGGGCCTAGACCCTTCTTCAGAAATGGGGGAGGGGAAGGGGATTCTGAAATAAATAGGGAGAGAGGGGAGGTGGATAGAAGATGGATAGAGGAGAAGATAGGTGGAGAGGAGACAGACAGGTCAAAGAGGTGGGGGAGGAGCCAGTAAAGGTGAGTGTAGGTGGGGAGTTAGGGAGGGGATAGGTCAGTCCAGGGAGGACGGACAGGTCAAGGGGGCGGGATGAGGCTAGTAGGTAGGAGATGGTGGTGGGGCTTGAGATGGGAGGAGGGGAAAGGTGGGAGGAAGGACAGGTTAGGAAGGTGGGGACAAGCTGGGCTGGTTTTGGGATGCGGTTGGGGGAGGGGAGATTTTGAAGCTCGTGAAGTCCACCCTGGCTGCAGGGTTCCCAAGCGAAATATGAGGTGCTGTTCCTGCAACCTTCAGGTGGCATTGTTGTGGCACTGCAGGAGGCCCAGGATGGACATGTCGTCTAAGGAATGGGAGGGGGAGTTGAAATGGTTCACATCTGGGAGGTGCAGTTGTTTGTTGCGAACCAAGCGTAGGTGTTCCGCAAAGCGGTCCCCAAGCCTCCACTTGGTTTCCCTGATGTAGAGGAGGCTACATCTGGAACAGCGGATACAGTATACCACATTAGCAGATGTGCAGGTGAACATCTGCTTGATGTAGAAGGTCTTCTTGTGGCCTGTGGTGGGGGTGACGGAGTAGGTGTAGGGGCAGATGTAACACTTCCTGCAGTTGCAGGGAAAAGTGCTGGGGGTGGTGGGGCTGGAGGGGAGTGTGGAGCAGACAAGGGAGTCACGGAGAGAGTGGTCCCTCCGGAAAGCAGATAAGGGTGGGGAGGGAAAAATATCTTTGGTGGTGGGGTCGGATTGCAGATGGCGGAAGTGTCGGAGGATGATGCGTTGGATCCAGAGGTTGGTGGGGTGGTACGTGAGGACGAGGGGGATTCTGTTTTGGTTGTTATTGTGGGGAGGGGGTGTGAGGGATCAGTTGCGGGAAATGCGGGAGACACGGTCGAGGGTGTGGGTGAAATCATTTTTCCTCAAATGCCTTCTAAACCTCCTGTTCCTTACCTTAAATGTGTGCCTCCTGATTATTGACCCCTCTACTAAAGGGGAAATGTTTCTTTCTATCTACCCTATCTATGCCTCTCATAATTTTAGACTTCAGTTAGGTATCCCCTCAGCCTCCTCTGCTCCAAGAAAAACGACCCCATGTTGTCCATGTAGTCTCTCCTTGTTGCTGAAATGCTCCAGAATAGGTGGGGTTCCTGGTGAGTCTCCTATGCACCCTCTCCAGTGCAAACACATGTTTTCTATAGTCTAGTGACCAAAACTGCACACAATATTCCAACCACAGCCTAACTGATGTCATGTACAGTTCTGTCATGATTTCACAGCTCTCATATTCAATGCCTCAACTAATAAAGGCAAGTACCCCATATGCTAGTTGCATGTTTGTTGTGTGTCATTTTAGCCTTCACTTTCCTTTCTGGTTTGGACTCTTGATCCACCATTTTTCGATGCATAATTGCTCTGCAGACTTGCATGTTTCATCATCTGTGTATGAATAAAGTCAGAGTAAGACAGCATGGAAACAGATCCTTTGATCCAACAAGTCTGTGCCGGCAGTTCTCAAACTAAATTAGTCCCACCTGCCCACAAATGGCCCATATCCCTCCAAACCTTTGCTATTCATGAACTTATCCAATGTCTTGTAAACATAGTAACTGTACCTGCATCCTCTACTTTCCCTGGCAGATTATTTAACACATGAACTACACTCCGAGTAAAAAAGTTGCCCCTCATGTCCTTTTTAAATCCTTCACCTCGCACCTTAAAAGTATGTCCCCTAGTTTTGAACTCCCTCACAAGGGAAAGGACCCTGGTCATTCATCTTATCTATGCCCTTCATGATTTTATAAACCTCGATAAGGTCACCCCTTGACCTCCTACACTCTGGTGGAAAACATCCCAGCCTTTCCAGTCTATTTTTATATCTCAAACCCTCCATTCCCAGCAACATCCTGGAAAATCTTTTCTGAGCCCTCTCCAGTTTAATAATATCCTTCCTATAACAAGGCGACCAGAACTGCACACAGTACTCCAGAGAGGCCTCCTGTTCAATCTCAATATTACGTCCCAATTCCTATACTCAAAAGTTTCAGCAATGAAGGCAAGCATGCTAAACACCTTCTTAACCACCCTGTCTAATTGTGATACAAATTTCAAAGAATTATGTACCTGAACTCCGAGGTGTTTCTGTTCTACAACACCTCCCAGGGCCCTATCACTAATTGTTTAAGCCCTGTCCTTGTTTGTATTACCAAAATGCAAAACCTCACATTTATCCAAATTAAACTCCATCTGCCACTCCTCAGCCCAGTGACCCAATTGATCAATCTTGGGTGATCTTAGATAACCTTCTTCACTGTCCACTATACCATCAATTTTGGTGTAATCTGCAAACTTAATAACCATGCCTCCTATATTCTCATCTGAATCATTTATATAAACGACAAACAAAAGTGGACCTAGTACCGATCCCTGTGGAACACTGCTGGTCACAGGCCTCATGTCTGACAAACAACCTTCCACGACCAACCACTGTCTCCTACCTTAAAACCAATTTTGTATGCAATTGGCAAACTCCCCATGAATCCCATGTGATCTAACCTAACTAATTAGTCTACCTTTGCAAAACCTTGTCAAAGGCTTTGCTAAAGTCCAAGTAAACAACACCTATCGATCTATCCTCATCAATCTTTTTGGTTACATCATTAAAAATCTCCATCAAGTTTGTAAGATACAATTTTCCTTGCACAAAACCATGCTGACTATCCCTAATCAATCCTTGACTCTCCAAATGCATGTAAATTCGATCTTTCAGAATGTATCTTCCTTTGGGGATAAGGGGAATTTAATTCATGTCGTAGTAGAGTTGATAACCAGATTGTTACTTTTCTGAAGAATAAGTTTGCCTATAATAAATGTGTTTTTCTTTTTAAGTATCTTGAAAAGCCAGGTGAAAGTCTCTTGTTCAACTTAATGGTAATAAAAAGAAGCAAAGTGATTGAGTAAGACTTTGGTGTGGCTCATTAAGTGCTTGACTTCATTTGACGTCCAACACACTCCTCCAGCTAGAGTCATTACAGTATACGAGAATTGGAAGGCATTTGTGCAATCCTAATTTAGTGTCTCTAACTGATAGAGATTATCAGTAACAGAAAGAGATAGTTGCAAATAAATTTGTATTTAAGGCCTCTGTGAAAAATGGGAAGATATGGAACTGTTTGGATACTTCCTGGAAATAATGCCAATAGTTTAATATGAGTTGTGATTTGCCCACTCTTCAGGTTAAGTCAGATGAATTTGGAGAAAAATACAAGCAAAACTTTTCATACTCTAAGAGATGAGTTTTATGATGCTAATTCATGGAAAATGTGGTTTGAAAAAAATATGGAAGCTGTTGTGCTGATTGTTGCCTTATAGCCCTTTCTGGACTTGACTTCTGTTTTCACAGACCGAGGTGGTCAGTAAGAACGAAACCCCAGAAACTGTAAGTTTCTTCCATCTTCACTCAGTGGAAGTTTTCAGACACCTGATAGTTTCCAAATATCAGTATTTCTGATTATGTTATAAATGCTAAATGCAAAACAGGCCATTTCCTAAAGACTCAGATCCAGCTTGGTTCCCATCTGAACTGAAGATTTTTCAAGTCTCCAGCTTCAGGAATTCAATTTTGTGGATAAGAAACCTGGGGATCTTGAAAAGTCATCACATCCTATTCTTTGTCTTCACTCCCTGGCCAACAGAGTTTTTGTTTTCTTTTGCCTTTTTCTGAAAAAAACAATATAATTTCTGCAGAAATCTTTGTGTTGAATGAATGTATCTATAATGAATGGGATATAGTTCTACTTCCAGTTTATAACTTCGATATTAACCAGTGTTTGCTACTTGTTTAAGAATAAGTTTTGTTTTATGATGAACAGATTCAAGTTCATGAAATAAGCCTGGTGAAAGTCTCTTTTATTCTGGATATCATATAAAACAGAATCGATGACACATGTTGGTGGTTAAATCAATATGTGCAACTGATGGAGTCATGGGACTTGATACCAGAACATTGTTCATGTTACTGTTATAATTAAGTGTACTACGTAACATTAAAATAACAGCCATTACCATTTTATGTTACCCAGTTCTTGCCTAACTGAATTGTAATTACTCTTCCCCCATTATAAACCTTACCCTGCTGCATGTACCTATCCTTTTCCATGACTATTGTAAAAGTAACAGAGTTATGATCGCTACCGCCAAAATGCTCTCCTACCAACAGGTCGAACACTTGGCCCGGTTCATTGCCAAGCACCAAATCCAAATTGGCCTCTCCTCGTGTTGGTCTATCTCCATACTGTGTCAGGAATCCTTCCCGAACGCACTGGACACAATCCGCTCCATCTAAACTATTACAACTAAAAAGTTTCCAATCAATATTTGGAAAGTTGAAGTCACCCGTGAATACAACCCTGTGACTTCTGCACCTTTCCAGTATCTGCCTCCCAAT